GCGCCATATCGCTGTGGTGACTCACCTTCGCCACGCAGCAGCCGCGGAATTGCCACATGCCCTTTACAGCATTGACGTCGATTTTCAAATCTCCCTTTATCTTCCATTTTCAAATTGGGCCTTATTCGCCATATCACGATTCCTCTCTTAACTTGATCTCAGCAGAGATGTTACTCAAATGCGTCTATGACTTGTCACTGTAATAAGTTGTGTACTGCCAGAATGCTTATCTATGTTAAAAGTTATTCATTGCTGCTAAACTTTTCCGAGTCATTCTAACACCTGCTTGATGAGGTTTCCTAACTAGAGTTGGCAAAGGGTGGGGAAATTTTGTGATTTGTACAATTACGTTTAAAACATAACGTGATGACTTCCTCATTTTTTCAAAACACAAATTGATTCAGTTTTTTTAATATACTTGCAGCACATTGTTTAGTAGTTTCTATCAAGTGGTTTTCATATTTTAAGCTTCTAAAGTGTTCACGTGAAAGCAGAATTAGCTCCTCCATGAGTAAGCAAAATTTAACTTGGGAACCTTTAATAGTTTGCTGTAGTCATAATCTGTTGCAACCGAGATGGGTTACGTAATTCCTCGCCGTGGGCAATACATTTTCGGGCCGCGTCCCGTTACCGCGGGTTTGTATTTATCTATTCCAGAAGGCTCTATATCGCCACCTGTAGCCCTTCTTCAGAAACGTATCCGCATATTAAAGAATTGTGAAAACAGTCTCTTTTCTTGTAGACTACGGACAATCGAAGTCATACAGAAATAGCCAACAACTGAGCGCATCCATTATAGAAAAGCCTCACTTCAGAACGGTCTTCTGTATTATTAGGAGGCAATGGGAACGTCTTGGAAAAGGATAAGCAGATTATGTAATTCCATTCCCCTGTTGTAAATCGTCATCCAGAAGTAAAATAATGCAATAAGACTATTCACAGGGAATTTGCATAAGAACGGAAAAAGCTTTCGACGAATACTTTTTGAGCAAATGTATTCGTCTATTGATTACTTCAAGAATAAGATTTGAAGTCTCCTTTTTCCATTTCTCTGACCGAGCAATTCAGCATTGACAGTATAGTTATACATCTTGCACTTTTGAACCTTTTTCTGTGCCAATGACTTTTTCTTTTTTCAACAACTTCTTATTAAAAATTTGTGCGCGGATTTAAATAGCTTCCACGTTACAGACTAAGTACACTCTTCTTTATACTTCATGTTATCATCTGAAAACCTAACTTTAATTATGTCCTCGTAAATGATCTGACCTCATACGATACACTTCACAATCGATTTTAAATACTTCTTTTTGATTGTTTGGTCTAGACTCGTACGAACGAAAACATCCAGTGCGAACAACGATTGTATTTACTCGTTGCTGGCTGCTCGCAGTGTGGTCTTTGAGACATTTCCGTCGCATCATAGTGGGCGCCTCGTGTCGCTCGCTCCATCCACTTAGCTCGGCTGACTCATCTTCAGCAGTGACCCATTTCAAATCAACCTTTTGTTCGGAACATCTGCGCCGCCTTTTCTCTTAACCTCTTATAGTTTGAGTCAGCGCTGACAATCACATTTTCAGGTATTGCGGTTATGAAACGACGATCTCCCTTGTTGGGATTGTTTCTGATCGCAGATGTAGCTATATCAATCCTCGCCATGGGTTTCTACTCCTCTAGCTGGAACTTCGACTTCGATCTCATAATTAAAAATCTACTATTTCTCGATGGTTACAACTATTTCACAAATCCAATCGATTTCCTACTGCTAGCAATCTTACGACTTGCTCTGGTCGTCGTTGCCGTAGTGCTCATCACCCTCCACTATGAAAATGTCGCCACAACAATGTTTATGCCAATGTTGGGTGTAGCTACATTCTGCTATTCCTATACTCTGGTGAAGTTCCTCGCATTTTCTGAGGATGTACAGATGTTATACTATCCGGGAGTATGGTTCTCGATCATATGGTCGATTTTAGCGGCTTTATTATTCGCACTCGTTTGGTATTTCATTTTAACCGCACACGAATTCGACTATCAACGTCTAGTCTCTGAACGATTCAATTCCGTGAATCGCACAACTTCCACTGTTGAAACAGCTGCTGACAGAAACAGCTCAGATAGTAAGTTATTTTGTTCAACAACCTATCCGTGAAGTGATGTTAACGACATAGCCAATTAATTTTATAGGCGTGTCTGAACATCTTATTGAAGATATATCTCCAAAACGAATAAGCACACTTGATCACGTATTTGCACTCCTGAGATACTGCCGCTACCATTGGTTCTGGTTCACACTAGGTTTTATATTTCTTGTTGTCTATGCTATTGGTGAGTGTTCCAGATTTCCATTAGCTTTATCGTAATCAATTGAACTTTAATTTTAGCGCGTGTATTCATACCAAAGTATACTGGCGATGTTATATCAAATATTGTGAAAAAAGCCGGTGTCGCCGCATTAATACATTCTGTGCTGATTATGGGAGCTTTAACTATGATAAGGTGAGCATTTTAGAGCATTAAAGCATTTTGTTCAACATCATAAAGGTTATCTCACTTTTTTTGGTCTCTTTTTGCCATGTATTTATTTAGTCGAGTTTCTTAGGAAAGTTTTGAGATAGAGTACGTTGTTGTATTCACTTGAGGCCTTCTTTCTGTCATCTCTCAGTTTTTTAGCACTTTCTTCGGTGGTCTTCGTGGTGGTTGTTTTGATTATGCCACAGCGCTTGTTAGTCGACAAGTTCGTATGGACCTTTTCCGATCGTTAGTCCATCAGGAAATCGGTTTTTTTGACATAACCAAATCTGGTATTGGTTTCTTCTTTCTTTTCCTCTTAAATCGCCTTAATGTTCATTCGTATTCTAGGTGAAATGGTATCTCGTTTGACATCTGACTGTCAAACAATGTCCACCACAGTGTCAACGAATCTCAATGTCTTTTTGAGAAATGGTGTTATGCTTATCGGAGCGATGGTTTTCATGTTCGTCATGTCATGGCGCTTATCGTTGGTTCGTTTACACTTTGTCATTAGA